TTGCCTACTGTTTCCTGTAGCCTTACTTCATCTGAGTCCTTTGTCACTCTCAAACCAATCATATTCTCTCTTATGTTAAAGCTCTCTTCTTCCAGTCTTCCTATTTCTCTAATGATCAAAACAGCCATTTCATTTACCTTTGGTACCATAAGTTAAGTGATTAATCACACAATTCAGTTGTAAATTCAGATTTGAGTATTTTGAGATCTTAAGTAGTATTTACATTTTAGAAGAAAAGCTTCTCATCCTATATGCATCTTTGCATTAATACACAGTTTCCCTTACAAAATATTACAAGTAACATGAATAGCTTTGGCTTAGCATCTGGTTATTTCTTCACAATCTGTAGGATAGAATTATTGAGTAAAGCATTCTAAGGGCCTTTTCAGTGCAGTTTTTGAACTCTTGGGTGTGTCATTTGTGTGACTTTGGACATTAAAGTTCTAGTCTTCCATTTCTTCATCAGTTTGAAAAAAAAGTGGGTTTAACTATAGTGCTTTTTAAAAATTCAGTTTGGAAATCTTTTATCTGGTGAGTAATATGTAATATTGAAATACACTTAAAATTTTAAAGACCTTGTAAGAATAACTTTTAACTTTCTTGTTTTTTTAAGTAATTTTTTATCTGAGAAACCATCCATAGAGTGTTAGTAACAGGTGCAGGGCTGCATTCTTGTTGCACATATCTGGTACTAATTGTTAGTGTCCTTTGACATGTAGCTACTAGATTCTTGTGCCTATACCACATTAATCAGTCTTATCCCCTAACACCCCTGAGTATCAGCAGGGATGCTTTCTAAATTTATTTATAATTCTGGATAAATGAACTGTTTTGATTAAGAGCATAAATCTCATTTTTACTTATATATATATATTTTTTTTTCTGTTTTTTAGGGGCGGTGTATCAGATTATTCCCTTTATTGCTCATAGATTTTTCTTTGCATTTTAGCATTGCTTCCATGTGATTTATTAATCATCATCTAACATCAAAGGTTATCAGAGGTTATCTATCTTTAAATTGAAGGGGGAAAATCTCATATTTGTGAACTTATGGGCTAGGGATGTAGCTCAGTGATAGAGTGCTTGCCTAGCATGTTTGAGGTCTGCAGTCAATCTGGAGTATCATGCACACAGAAAAAAGGATTATTTTTCCCTTTCTCCAATAGAGAGATGTTCTAAGTCAGTGAATAAAGAGATTCTCATTTGGCAAACTGAGGGAGTGGACATGAAAATAGTTCAGAGAGAGAGATAGTTTATTTTAAGTTGGTATAAACATCAACCTGGATGAAAAATTCACTACAAAACTGAATATTTAGACAGTGTGTTTATTTTATAATTATAAAGAAAGGGAATACAGGGGCTGGGGTTGTGGCTCAGTGGCAGAGCATTTGCCTCACACACGTGAGGCATTGGATTCGATCCTCAGCACCACATAAAAATAAGTAAATATAATAAAGACATTTTAAAAAAAGAGAGAATATAGATAATGACTATTATCTATGGTGTTTTAACTTAAGGAGTAAATTGTTTCCCAAGTATTACATAACCACCCCATTCAGAAACATCTCATATATTTTGTAAAATTGAGATAAGGGTGTGTATGTGAATAGTTTTTACTGGTTTAAGTGGCAAATAAATCAACTGTTACATGGTACCCATGTCCATTAAAACTATTAAAATTTTTTTTTTAATAAAAGAAGATAGTGCAAGGTTTAACCACCTTGACATAGTTGACAAACGACAAATATACTTACTATGTATTTCTTTGTGAGAATCCGTGGTTACAATCTTCTAAAGCATAGATGGCAGTCTACCTTCCTTATCAGTATAAAATCACTGGTTTGTACTTGTGTAGTCATTCCAAGGTTTTCTGTCTTGTGTGAGTGTCATGGAATGGTTAGGCACTCTTAAAAAAGAAGAAGAGTTATGTCTGTGTGACCTGGGGTGAGACTATTTTAATAGGCTTGGTAGCAGAGTGACAAGTATGAATAGGAAAATAGTTACAAATTTCTATCACGATACATCCTATTAATTTGACTTCTTAACCTTTTGATTTTAATTCAGTTTAAATGATAAGAACATCATAAGATAAACATTAAGGCAAGCATAGTTAATCACTATGGTTGCATGGATAAAAAATGACATTGATCATAACTGATATGTTAGAAGTACAACCAGTTTTTAATACAAGTTGAATACTTTATACTGATACTGCATACTGTCTGCTTTTATGTCTTAAACATCTTTTAAAAGCTGGTATACCAGGATAGATCCAGTGGTAATTGATCCTTTTTAAAATACCTGATTTCTGGCCCTTTTAGATGTCTTTCTGCAATTGAGAATATTGGCATGATTCCAAGGAGGCTTTAAATGTCAAGATTATGATAAATGGACCATATGACTTGGGAGTTTGCTGGAAATGACTGACAGCCTTGACCTTTTCCCTTCTTTATGTTGGACAAGATTTTTATCTTTAACTATAATTCTGCCTCAAGTAGCAGCACTTGATGTGAATTTCGTGAAAAATTCTTGTCTTCAACATTGTGTAAATATTTATTTTACAGAGCCATAAGTGTGATCCTTGGTGACAGGTGGAAGAAAATGAAGAATGAAGAGAGAAGGATGTATACATTAGAAGCAAAGGCTTTGGCTGAAGAACAAAAACGTTTAAATCCTGATTGTTGGAAAAGGAAAAGAACCAATTCAGTACGTTTCAGCAAGTAGTTGTTTAAAATGATCTTGACTTATCCCCATAGTTGTGCTGCAGTGATGGAGCAGTTGTTACAACCTTTCAAGGTTGTATTGATGCTATTTCTTAGCATTTTTATACTTTATAATCCAATAATATTTTCATATCATATGAGGAAACACTTTCTGTGCATTCACTCCCTTAGTATGCAAATAGAAATCCGAAGCTACTTTATAATGAATGTTTGTCTTAAATGTTGAGTTGGAAAGATAGTTTTTATTTCTAGCTGGGTTGAAAGATGAGCATTATTAACCTATTAATACCACAGTAGAAATTTTGTCTAATTTTGGTGGCAGGTCTCACCAGCCTTTCTGTCCTTAATTGGTGAGAAACTAATGAGGATGCTGGTGTGGGTGTATGTTTACTGACATCCAGGGGTCACTTCTGCCATAGGCACAGAATTTTTAGATTAAAAACCTCAAAAGAAGATATAGGCCCAGAAATGGTGGTAAACAATTTTGTATCATGATAATGCTGTCTCAGATAGACTTGTTTCTTAGAACTTTTCTATTACTAGACTAGCATTTTTTATGTTTACTGTTTTTAGATCAATTACAAGAAAATGTCACACGATAGGGCAGATTGGGCTCTTCACTAAAAAAGGGAAGAGAGGTCAGTAGTTAACAGGAGGGCTGGTTAAAAGGACATTTTAAATTCATTCTATATATTTATGCCTATTTCTATAGTAACATGCAGGTCACATCTGCATAAAGTTTTAAAGTAATAGGTGAGAAGGTGGCTGAACTTGATTTTGGAAGTTAAACTTCATTAGTTTAGAATTTCATGTGGTAGGACTTGACCTGTATCTCTTTTATGTTTGCCCTAATCCATCTCATCTTTTATAAAAAGTATTAACAAAATTTAAAATGATCTTTGAGAAAGCAATCTTTTTTAAATAGTAAATTTATAAACATTATCTTACACATCTGAGCTTTCATATATAGAATTATTATGTATTGATTTTTAAACATTCACTGAGTTTAATTTTATTTCCACAGGGCTCACAACAACATTAAACCAGGATGCTTATGTTCTTAAGTCTATAGTTGCATAAACATTGACTCTTTGATGGAAAGACTTAAGAAGATCCAGGTCTCACCATTTGTCCCGAATTCGTGTGACCATAAGATACTGATAGCATTGAGTCTTGAAATGATTTAATAATATGAGTGAGGATTTGCTTTCTCCATTAGAGCATTAAGTATGCTAAAACTATCAACATTGTAAACCAAATTGCCTTATTTTCCTTCCAAACTTCATATATGTCTATCAGGTAATATAGGCTTGAAAATTTGATATCCTGTGGTGCTAAAGTATAGTAGAAAGAGAGAAGTGTATACTTGTTTTATTTTAAATCGTATCAAAGGGGAATTTAAAAATATGTAACTGCTGTCTATACATTGGCTCCTTACTGCTTATTAATCTGTATTGTAAACAAGATGAAATGAAGCAGAAGCTGGGGTTGGCCTTTCTGTGAGCACCCACCATGTGGCCCAGCATCTGTGCCAAACAGGCGCTCTTAGTCTGGCCAGTGCCAAGAGACTGTGTAACATGTGGAAGGTGGATGGTGTGGCTGTCCCAGCAAAAAATGCCACCTGCTGCAGTTACCACAGGCATGCTGAGTTCATGCAGCAGGTGGCAGCACTAATCCATTATTGCAGTGGAGACCTAGCCTGGGCCAAGGTAAAGTTAGTTAATAGCATTGGGATATAGTCACTGTAATGGTGCTATTAACAGTCCGACACCATTGTATTTTTAAACTTTGTGTTCTATATCTCCTCAGCCACGTATCTTAAATATATTTTGTCATCATATCTTTATGGTGGGGGCAGACTTTGCACTTATTGCAGTGCAACACTTGCACTTTACTTTTCCTCCAACTGTCTAAAATTAGAGCAAATACATTGGCAATACAGCTGCTTTTGCTCTGAGCTACAATCATGGCTTTTCATGTTACTTACCAAGTGGTGTTTCTGGTTAGGAATCACAACTGTAAAATTGATTTCAGTTCATTTACACTTCTTCATGATGTTGCCCCTCAATTTTGCACACTATATTCTTGTATATTATTTCAAATAAAATGAAAAAAGTTTATCTCTGACTTCTGATTGATCTGGACTAAATTTTATATATGAATTGTCAAAATAAAATGATCAGGAGATGGAAAACAGACTTTATTAATTATGAGGGTATTGACGCATTTTTAAAATTAATGGGGCAAGAGCAATAGACAAATAAAGACTTTATAGACTCTGGTAGAAGAAAATTTATTTTTAACTTGTCATCTTTGTTACAAGGTTGAACCACCAATGTCTGCTTTTAATAAAATGACAAAGTATAAAGAAAACCTTGCTTTATTATAGTTTGACATTTAGAGAACATTTAGTGGTGTGGTATGTCTGAGCTTTGGGATGTGCCACTGGTTAACAAACTGCTGCACATTAGAATCTCTTTAGGGACATGCTTTTAGAAATATTGATGCCTAGTTTCCACCACTCCAAAATGTATCAACTAGGGTGAAACTTAGGCCTCATGATTTAAAAAATTTCTCTGACGATGTGAATATGCAGTCCTATTTGGGAACCACTGGCCTACACACTTAATGCAGAAGCAGGCAGGTTGGGGGAAGCAGAGTACCTAGTATTGTCACTTGATCATATCCCTGTTTTTAAAGACTGTAACCATAGGGGAATGTGATGGAAAAGAAACTTCAGCTAGTTTATTACAAAAATCTGAAATCAGGAGGAAAAAAAGTTGGGTTATTTCTGGAAAAATCAGGTCCATGAGGTTGTGCTGAAGATCCTAATTTGACATCTAAAGTCAAAATGTTAAAGAGAAATGGGACAAGATCATTTACAATCTTCAACAATATTGCATAGTAACTGCATATTTTGGGTTAGTGCAGTATGTAGATTAACGAAGGTTTCACATTATTATTGAGCAGACATAGCTTTCTGAAGCAGCTGAACCATTATGGGATACACTGGTGCAAATTCTTTGCCTTCTCTACTTCTCACTGATTGAACATAAGCTTCCAGGGCTCCCCTGAAACCAAATTGAAAACAGTATCATAACATTACCCACATTAAACAGTTTGGGGGGTAAATAGTATTTTTAAAAAGATAGAAATAAATCCATTTCTGGAACTGCTATACCACACAGGAAGTAACTCACAGCCTCAAACATTTAATGATAGTGTTACTATGGTAACTACAAAGTAAAATGCAAAACTGCAAACTTTGTCAATCTGCATTTTATGTAGTGATCTAGTCATAGGCTCTCTGGCTTCTAAATATGTGTTGTTTCCCTTCCCCCTGCTTCCCTACTGAAGACACCTCTGAAAGCTACACATAGTTTGTGTGTATTCACAGAACGAAGGAGATGACACCTTGGAAAGACATGTTTAGGAGTGCTGGGGGTGGGGTCCTTTGGCATGTATGGTAACCACTAGTAGGTACATGATATTCACAATATTTTATGGACTACACACAATCCACAACTAGAAAGTTATAGGACTCTTTTTTTAAGTTACGTGATGAGAAGCAGTCTGAATTTAGTCAAGGGTACGTGGTTCCACGTAAATTCATGATGGTATTTTTTCATGAATTATATCAGGGTCAGCAAATGCCTGTAGGCAAAATGTCACTCTGTGCTCGTTCTGTCTATGGTTTAGGGCTGCTTTTACATCACCATGGCCAAGTTAATGGTTCAGGAAGAGATTATAGAGCCTCCAAAATCTAAAATGTGTCTGACCCTTTTGGGAAAACTTGCCATTCCCAGAACTACATCATCTGGTTAAGCGGAAGCTAAAAAGAATGGTTCTAAGATTGTTCATTTTGGCCTCTTAAGTGCAAGGTATACAAATCAATTTTTGTGACACTGTTTTCTTCAAAATTTCACACTTTGAGGTAGAACATTTCTATAAAGATGTTAATTCCATTATAACTCACATATTCAGTCTCAAGTCCCATTTAATATATAACTCTTAACTGGTTTTTCTTTTTTTTTTTTTCTCCCAAACACTGAAATCATTCAATCTGCAGTGTTTTCTACCATCAATCACCTTCATACAGCAATAATTCTCATATCTCTTTCTTCCAGCCCTGACCACCCTCCTGATTTCTGTTTACTGTCTTTTGGACATCGTTAACACATCTGCTTCCAGGTATCCCTCAAACCTAACCCTAACCCTAACCTACCAAACACTTAGGGCAGTGTTCTGCCTGCCTTCCCTTGTTGTAACAGAGGACACCAGCATCTTAAGGTTTCTATCAGTTCTCTTTCACTCCTATAAATTCACCTCACATATTTACACATAGAGTCCTTGATCTTCACTTTGCTTATTTGAACCCCTGCTGTCTTGTGTCCTGAAGAATGCTGTCACCTCTTGGGTGGTCATCCTGGTGCTGGCTTTCCCCCTCCTGGACAGTCTTCCCTACATTACAACAAGAGCTCTCCTCCTGAAGCGTAATAACATTTGCTAAGCCTGAGTCACTATAGCACAGTGCCCGACTCATATACAGCTGAGTGAGTACCAGCTTCTTCATAGACCTCCACCCAGCCCTTTTCCACGCAATTGCTGGCTTCCTGACAGTTTGATGTGGCCTAAAAAGACCTCACATCACTTGGTATTTTTCTTTTTTATTACCAAATAATGTGCAATACAGCTAAACTGCACTTGTGATTATTAGTCTGAACCCTTATCCACCCAGAGAGAGACCAAGGGTATTTGTTCATACATTGCTGAAAATGAAATATTTCCCTATTAGGTTAGCAGCTGAGAAAGGGCCTGTTCATCTTTGACCATCTCATGGTAAATGAGATAAGGATAATCTCTTAGGCCTTTGTGCATTATCCTTATCCTTGCAGTGTCCTTCCTTGTTTTCATCATTGCAGAGCTCTTTTTCTCTTAAACTCAGCTTCAAATGCTCCCTTTTAGTAGAGTCTCTCCTAACTCCTATAAGCACAAAAGAATGGAAATCATCTTAGAGTCACATAAATTTGTGGAAAGATCTGACTTCTGTATCAACAGCCTTGACTCTGCAGGACTCAGCATTTTGGGATTTCTGAAGGCTGGATCCATGCTCTGTTCAGGGCATGAGTCCTTTAAACCAACATGTGGAGGAATGGGCAGGCCTCTGAAACCAGCTGCTTGAATAAGATGTAATGTCATTACTTGGCTCACATGCTTAAGCCTGAGTCCCACTAATACATAATTCTTAACTGGTCATATACATGGAATTTAATGCTCTTAGAGCACAATGTTTTATGAGATGCTTCAGTTCATGTCAAAGCCAACCATTAATGGAGCTATTTCTCTGAAAAAACCTGTTACTTTTAATACTTTGCTAGTTGCTATGCTGTTCTGGGCAACTGCCTCTATTCCACAAGTGAAGTCCTGAAGACTCATATATAATAGAGACACCCCCAAGGACTAAATTATCTTTGAGAAATGGTATATATGTGTACGTATATATCGATCTAAGAAATAAGTGTGTTGAAATTCATAGAAACTGCCAGAGTGAATGAATTATATCTATTCTGTTTAATACACAAAAATCAACTTGGCAGTTTCATTTGCATTTAAAAGAATAAGACATTATATAAATTACATAATATGTAAAATTCAGCAGCTCAGAAATTAGTTATTTTTTATTTTATATTCATCAAAAACACCATCAGAACTACAGGGAGAAAAACAGATGAAGCTGCCCTCCCACATAAAATCAGAGCAAGATTTTCAAGCACTTATTAAATTACTTCATTTGCTTCAGCAAAACATTAGCTTTCTTGGAAGTCAGGCCAAGAATTATGTAATAGTTTCAACTCTGGTTTGTAACCAAAATAAGATGATTACTGAAGTTATCCTTAATGGGAAAAAACAAAACACAAATTATTACTAGAGGAATGGCTTGTGAAACATGGCAACACTGCTCAATGTGACATACATAAACCCTGTAGAGGTTTTCATAGAAAATAAAGTTGATCTTTGTCAGGCATTAAACATTCAGTGTGATTAGTACTGACGTACATACATGATTTAAGGATATACCAAGTGTCTAAAAAGGCAGTTTAAACCCCAGGCTTTTTCCTTGGGTTCCAACTCAGGCACAGTTCCCAGAATTTGAATACAGTGACATAACAATACAAGAAGGGGAGACCAAACTTCACCGACCCTCAACAGGGATTTGGGAATTTTGCAAAAATACTTATTATGGCTCCTAGCCCATGATAAGAGGGTAAAGGGCAAGCAGTCCAATGCATGTGGTGTCAAGCATTTTCTGATAACTGTATAGATAAAGTACCATTATGTTAATAAAGTCTGAACAATTCTGACCTCAGTGTTCTCAGAGAGGACTGCAGTAAGAAGGACTGCTGCTGCACTACCAATACTAAAAGTAAATGGAGGGCTGGGGTTGTAGCTCAGTGTTAGAGAGCTTGCCCAGCACATATGAGGCATGGGGTTTGATCCTCAGCACCACATAAAAATAAATAAAGGTATTCTGTCTATTTACAAGTAAAAAAAAAAATTACAAAAAAGTAGATGGGTTTGAGGCCAGTTCTGATTCTGCAGATCCTGAGAAATGTTTTCATCAAAACCTCCTACTGCATCTTTACTAAAACACATTCTACACAGGCAAACTCACCGGTATGAGTGAGGCAGTCATCTCTGAACTGGGAGCACACACATCTGCAGCACCTGCCTGGTGGGTCTGAGTAGGTGCAATTCTGCCCCACTTACCCCACCTGGCCTCATGAGTCAGTGATTACTCTGACTTTAGAAATAACTTGACTATTATTCATTCAAAATTCAGAAAAACATTTGGTGTCAAAAGGAAACAAAGGCAGGAGAGTTCACTATTTGCCATTTATTCGGCAGCAGTACTTACACTCGTCTCATTTTGCCCTACTTTATGACAAGTAACAGATTATGCTAGGAGAAACAGAATAAATATACAACAAGGTTTACCCCAGAAGCTAAAATGAATGTGCTGACATTTAAAGGGCAATTGTCACCCTGGGTTTATCTACAGGGGAAAGAAATTCACCCAGTGATGCTTTGGTATGCAGGAATGAAATTAGTTTTGTGGTAATACATTAAAAAGCATATTGTCTGAAATAAAGGTCCTTTTCTTGCCAACAATCTAGGTTACAAGAGTGCAGTTTTTCTGAATCCCCCAGGGAAGGCTAAATTTTCTGCTCAGGGCAAGAAGGTTCTGGTATCAGTCAACTGTAGAAGCCTGGTTAGTCCTTATTTAAAAGGCATGACAGTATTTCTGAGCATGATTTTCAGTTGCTAAAAATAGGCTTAGCAACAGCATTGCTGATGAAATCACTCAGGAACATTTTTAAAGAGAAGCAAAAGAAAACAGATTTGTGATGTACCCACAGCAGGACAACTGTTGTAGATGAACTCATTCCAACTTGTTAAGAAGGCAAAATGAGCCCTGCTCAATTCACTGAATTCTTTTCTATTATCAGGTGTGTTGCAGCTGAGTGAATCACTGGGACAAGGAAAAAATTCACAGAGACCCTGCAAATGCCTGAGTTAGGCTAGACCCAGACTCCCTCACACACCCAAAGCCTTTTCAGAGGGCAGTTGAAACAAGTCATGGGAACTTATGGGAAGCTCCTCTTGCAACCTTTCCCACTGCTCACAGCTGAGTTCAGAAGGGCAAGAAAGAAGGGCAGGGGTCTGGGCTAATCAACTTTGCTTACATAGTAGCCACAGTCCTGGACACCATATCCGAGGGCTCAGTGCCACTGTCCGAAGCTGATGAGCTGATGTTTCTGAATGATCACTTATAGCTTCCTTAGTGGAGTCTTTCACTTGGTAACTGGAATGTTTCGCTGTGGCAGTGGGTGATAGTCTGGGCTGCACAATGGACCTGTCTGATGAGCTCTTAAGAGATCCCGAGGCCCAGAGCAATCAGAAAGATGAAAGAAATCAAAGGGATATGTATAGGGAAAGAAGAACTTAAATTAGCACTATTTGCTGACAATATGATTCTATACCTAGAAGACCCAAAAAACTCCACCAGAAAACTTCTAGAACTAGTAAATGAATTCAGCAAAGTAGCAGGATATAAAATCAACACCCATAAATCAAAGGCATTTCTGTATATCAGTGACAAAGCCTCTGAGAAGGAAATGAGGAAAACTACCCCATTTCACAATAACCTCAAAAAAAAATAAGACACTTGGGAACCAACTTAGCGAAAGAGGTGAAAAACCTATACAATGAAAACTATAGAACCCTATAGAAAGAAATCAAAGATGACCTTGGATAGACAAAATTAATATCAAAATGACCATACTACCAAAAGCACTATAAGATTTAATGCAATTCTGATCAAAATCCCAATGGCATTCCTCATAGAAAGAGAAAAAATAATCATGAAATTTATCTGGAAAAATAAGAGACCCAGAATAGCTAAAGCAATCCTTAAGAGGAAGAGTGAAGCAGGTGGCATCGCTATACCAGACCTTAAACTATACTACAGAGCAATAGTAACAAAAACAGCATGGTATTGGCACGAAAACAGATTGGTAGACCAATGGTACAGAATAGAGGACACAGAGACTAATCCACAAAATTACAATTATCTTGTATTAGACAAAAGTGCCAAAAACATGCACTGGAGAAAAGATAGCATCTTTAACAAATGGTGCTGGGAAAACTGGAAATTCATATGCAACAAAATTAAATTAAACCTTTATCTCTCATCAGGCACAAAATTCAACTCAAAACGGACCAAGAACCTAGGAATTAAACCAGAGACTCTCCGTCTATAGAAGAAAAAGTAGGCCCTAATCTTCATCATGTGGGATTAGACCTCGACTTCCTTAATAAGACTCCTATAGTGCAAGAATTAAAACCAAGAATCAATAAATGGGATTCAAACTAAAAAGTTTCTTCTCAGTAAAAGAAATAATCTATGAGGTGAATAGAGAGCCTACATCTTGGGAGCAAATTCTTACCCCTTACACATCAGATAGAGCACTAATCTCTAGGGTATATAAAGAACTCATTTGACCCAGCTATCCCTCTCCTCAGATTATACCCAAAGGACTTAAAAACAGTATACTTATAGGGACACAGCCACATCAATGTCTATAGCAGCACAATTCACAATAGCTAAACTATGGAACCAACCTAGATGCCCTTCAATAGATGAATGGATAAAAAAAAAAGTGGCATATATACACAATGGAATTTTACTTAGCAATAAAAGAGAATAAAATCATGGCACTTGCAGGTAAATGGATGGTGCTGGAGAAGATAATGTTAAGTGAAGTTAGCCATTATCCTCCAAAACAAATGCTGAATGTTTTCTCTGATATAAGGAGGCTAACTCATAGTGGGGTAGGGAGGGGGAACATGGGAGGAATAAATGAATTCTAGATAGGGAAGAAGGGAGGGAGGGACAGGGAGGAGGCAGGGGATTAGCAAGGATGGTGGAATGTGATGGACTCATTATCCAAATGTATGAAGACACGAACTGGGTATCAACCTATTTTATATACAAACAGAGATATGAAAAATTGTGGTATATATGTGTAATAAGAATTGTAATGCAAAAAACAAAGTACATGTATAAAGACATGAATTGGTATGAACATACTTTATATACAAAGATACGAAAAATTGTGCTCTATATGTTAATAAGAATTGTAATGCATTCCGCTGTCCTGTATTTAAAAAAATAAAATCAATTAAACAAACAAACAAAAACAGAGATCCTGAGGCCATAGCACCAGCAATTCTGAGGCAGTCAAGGGTGTAGCCTAGGCAGTAGGACTTTTCAAAGCTTTGTAAATGCTTCTCAGCAAACAGGGCTGAGAATCACCTTAGCACCATGAGCCCCATTCTGGCTGTAGGATACTCAGCTCATCACCCACACTGTGGCTCAAACACAGGTTAACTGGCATGGCCCTAGACCCTAGACAGAGATGAGAATGGCTTCAAGAACCCTTTGACAGAGACAACTGACTGGATTGGAGGACAAAGGTGATGGAGAAGTCAAATGATGATTTAAAGGTTTTCTAGTTTGGTTGGTTAGGTGATGGTGACCTCCCAACCAAGACAGGAAATATGGTAGAACAAGGTTCGTAAGAAAAGATCAGTTTGGAACACTTTGGTGCCGAGATTTCTTTGGGGCATTCAAGTGGTGACATGACAGCAAGTTGACCTACCTGAGGGCCTGTGCAATCAAGTAAGTCACATATCAGATGCCATGAAGTACAGAAGAGGCCACAACAGGCATAGGTCTGGATGAACTCATCCGGGAACCAACATTTGGAAAGAATGAGTCAAAAAAGAGCCAAGAACAAAATATGGGAAGTGATATTATTCAAAGAATGGATGGAAGGAGAGAATTCAGCAAATGAGGTAGAAGAGGAAAATGGCAGAGATGTTATAACAGAAACAGATGAACATGTCCATGGGGTCATGGAGGCTCCAAGAGGAAAGGGCCACATCTCAGTTTAGGAATGAAGATTTCTGATGAGTAGGAGGTCTTTGATGACTTGGCGAGGGCAATTTCAGAAAAAAGTATTGTTGGAAGAAGGATAACAGTTAAAGCATCCCAACCTCGGCACAACTGAAGTATACAGTATGTGTGTTTGAACATGTGCACATGCTGTCACACACACGCATACACAGTGAACTCAAGGGGCACTATGGGAGGACACATAGAATCTAAATAGTTAAGTTGTCCTTGTCTCCTTCTAACAACTATTTCATATCTGGGTAGTGTTTAAAGTTCATTCACATTTTTGCTTCACCAATTCAATAGCTGCAACACATGAAAATAACACAGAAAATGTGGAGTTAAGCCAAAGAGTGCAGGTTGGTTTTTAGAGCTGGAAGTGCATAGTGCCATTCCTGCATGGGGTATGGAATGGCACAAAATAGGATGCAAAGGACTGAAAGTATTAGATATTGAGGGCAAAATTACCATACCCAAAGGTTCACAGCTGGGCGCTCTAGTATGAGTGGTCTATGCAATGAGGTGGCCTGCCTTAAGAAGGTGCAATCCTGTGTCCATGTCTATCTAGGCACTGCCCTTCATCCCTACTGTGTCCCCCACCTACCTTGGGCTTCTATCCCAAGTGGATACCCTAAAACACAGGGCTTTACCTGATGAGGAGAAGCCTGTCCTTTTCAGATGGATGGTCATCCAGCCACTGGGAGAAGCGTGCATGGGACCATTCTGCCCTCTGCAGGGTCAAAACACAATTAGAGAAGAGTATGAATACATTCTTCAACAAATGGTGGTAAATGCCGGTTCAAAAATCACTCTTAGGGGCTGGACTTATAGCTCAATGACAGTGTGCTTGCCTAGCATGTGTGAGGCACAGGGTTCAATCCTCAGCACCACATAAAAATAAATAAAGGCATTGTGTCCATCTATAACTTTAAAAAAATCAAAAATTAAAACAATAAATAAATAAATAAATAAATAAATAAATAAAGCACTCTTGGGGATTTTCAAGGTGAAATTCCCTCACACACCTGCGTGACGGAAGCTTGTAAAAGGTGGCACAGGCTTTAGGCACCTTCCTAACTCCCGAGAGCCTTCAGAACTTCCCACTTGATGGTGGGAGAGCAAAGAAAATGGGGCCTCCATCCAATAAAGTTTATGAACATAAACTACTTGTGACATCATTATTTAAAGGGCTAATTCTGGATTCAATGGATAATTTTTTTAAAAAAAAATTTTCTAGTTTGTTAAGTTGCTCAATATTCACAAATTAACAGGGAAGACTCACAAGAGGGTTTTGGCTTTGCTGTATTACCTGGAAAGGAGATTTCAGCTCAGCAGGTGCTCTTGTGAACAAAAACTGAATAATAATGCTGAATGGAATAATGTCCCCCAGTGCAGGACTATTAGCTACATGTTCACTTGTCTGGAAGAGCAATGGTCTAGAAGACGAAAAGCCACAAGTTAATTCATGCCATTCCACATCAAAACAGGTAATGTGGTAGAAGAATCATCACACTTAAATATCAATATTCTTCCTAAACTGGCTATTGAAGGATGATTATCCAATTTTGTAATGCCCCATTCAACCCTAAGACCCACCACACATACACATGCATACGCTCTAGGGTGGCTGATACATCTTTCAAATCTTTCCTTCCTTGATTCTTGATTCCTTGATTAATGGATGTGAAGTAACTTCCAGTTGACTCAGCAAAATCCCCTCCTAAAGTTCATTTAATTAATAGGCTGAAATCAAATAAAGCACCAAGTCAAGTCTTTAAATTATAACATTGTTTTTTAAATTTATATATGACCGCAGAATGCATTACAATTCTTATTACACATATAGAGCACAATTTTTCATATCTCTGGATGTATACAAAGTATATTCACCCCAATTCGTGATAACTAACATGTTCTTACCTTGGTCAACCCTTTCAGCTTTCATTTCCCATAGAATACTTCTTTGGACTATAATCCATTAAGTATACATGTTTATTTCTACACATCTCAAAATGGTAACTATGTTTTGCATATACCAAGTTATTACCTTGCCAACCAACTGCAGCTCCTTTCTCATACACTATAGCTCTGGGTCTCACCATTATGATTTTATAGGAGAAGTGTGCAGCTGATCCACTGCAGTGATGCACACTACAGCCATGCAGCACTGAGGAGGGAGGATCACTTGAGCCCACCAGTTTGAGACCAGCCTGGGCAAAATAGTGATCTCCTGTCTCAAAGTATGAAAAATAAAATAACAAAAAAAGGCTATAAAGAATTATTTGAAACTGTTATTGTTCCCTCCCTGGCTTTGAGGTTTCTTGGACAAGAGCTAATAACTACAAGCTGAGCTTTGGAAGCTCAAAGTTGAAAAGTGAGCTGGCAGCAATATATCTTGATATTTCTTCCTTTTTTTACACTAATGAGGTTTATGTCAAGAGTGCTCTTAACAGTTGCTTCTTATTGGATCCAGAATATTATTAGGAAAAAATGTCTTTATGTTAACTATTCTGTAAGTACAATCTATCTCTGATAAGGATTTTTCTAATTTCAACTGCTTTATCAAATAACATCATTTCATCATTTATTCTCTTTAGTTACTGAGAAAATATTTCAGCTCACTTATACTGGCTCTCACCAGAAAGCCAGAATGATCCAAGTTCTATGAGAATGTGATCAAGGTCTTCCTGTGGTCACATCTGTCAAATCATTTCAGTGTTCCATGATGTGGAGCTTTGGGTCATCATCAAGCACCTAATTAGGTATGAAAAGTTACTGAGGGATTTTCGGTTTCAACCACAGGTATCCCTTTAAGTCCTTCTCTGTGTGGATGACACTGTCTTCATGTAGGGGAAAGATTCCATCATCATCATCAGTATCAGCGGCAGCAGAAATAGCTAACACACGTAGGTAGCACTTACAACATGTCAAACACAGATTAAAAGCTGTGTAGAGGGTTAGACAGAAAGCAAGATAGCAGAATAGGTCCCAGGATTCACTATGTTCCTCTCACAAAGTCCACCTAGCAGCTATCCTCAGAAGAGAACACTTTTGTGAAAACCCCCAAACTCAGGAATAAGACTGATATACCCACGTGGATTACAGAACCATATATAAACTATGCTAGAAAGTTAAGAGGTACGGTTCTACTTTGAATGCCTCACTCCTCCCTGCCCTGGCACAGCACCATAGAAGATTTCCTGGCCCACAGTTTCTGGGCTGGAGAAGACCCAGAAGTAGACATCCAGCTTCCCCAGAATTCTGAGATGCTTTGCAGAAGCCTACTTCAATCCTGCCTCATAGGGAACAATGGGACAGGATTCCCTGGTGTCAAGTAGAAACAAAGAATGGTAGGGGAGGGCACACAGCAACCAGCATGCAGATCTGGAGCAGAAGTGGTGCCTGATGAGTGAAACCACTCCATGACAGTTTACTTACAAAGCTGAGCAAATTGCTCCTAGAATCCCATTGAAAAGTTCAAGCTGGCTTGAGTACGTAGGGAGCTGCAGTGGGACTGCCCAGCTTCAGAACTCACCTCAAGACCCCACCTACGCAGACAGTGCATATCTATGCAGTATAGGGGCTAGACTTGTCTGAACTGGCTCCACCCAACCTCAGAGTCCACTCATTTAGGGCAATGATTCTGCTTAAACTCAGATCTCTGCCTACAGTCCTACTCAAGTGCGCACAATTCAAATAACAATACTGTCTAACCAGGAAATATACCCTGCAACTCTGCCAGATCAGAGGTGATTGCAGTACCCAGCCAATGGTTCTACCTAACTGCAGGGCCAAGCCATTGGTACTGCCAGACAACAGAGCCCAGCAGCAACTCTGCTTGTTCTCAGGGTCAGTATCAGCTGGCCCGCCCAGAATAACAGGCTGTACTAAATAGTAAAGTTCTACCTATGCCAAAAGAATAGCTATGAAAGCCAGAAGAGGTGGCTGTCTCTTCAAGCAGATATCAGTTCAAGGATACAAGGGTTACTAAAAATCAGGGAATCATGATACAACCAAAAGAAACTAAGAAAGCTCTAATAAGGGATCCTAAAGAAATGGAAATAACTGACAAAGCATTCAGAACAATCTCGTTGAGGAAGTTCAGCAAACTCTAAGAATATATACATGAAAAATTAAATTAAATTTGGAAAACAATACATATACAAGATAAAATTTTGACAAAGAAAAAGAATAAAAAATTTAAAAACTAGATATGAAAAATACAATGACTAAGCTGAAAAATTCGACAGCTTCAATAGCAGGTATAATCAAGCATAAAATCAGAGCTTAAAGACAGAATATTTTAATTCCAGTTGGAGGAGCAAAAAGCAACAAGAAAGAAAAAGAATAAATAAAATTTTAGAGGAATTATAGACACTACCCAGAGAACTAAGATCTGCATAATTCAGTAAAAAAAGAAAGAAGAAGAAGAGGGAGGGGGAGGGGGAGGGGGAGGAGGAGGAGGAGGAGGAGGAGGAGGAGGAGGAGGGGGAAGGTAGTCAGAAATAATAAAGAAACGACAGTGCCAAATTTCCCAAATCTGGGAAAATATGTCAACATCTAAGTACAAATCTGCAATCAAATTCAACCCAAAGAAGAATTTACAAAACCACATAACAAACTATTTAAAGACAAAAATTTTAGGGACTGTGGATGTGGCTCTGTGGTAGAGTGCTTGCCTAGTGTGCATGATCCCTGAATTCAATTCGGAGGGTGTGGGGGGTTTCTAGAAGCAGCAAGAGATAAGAAACATCACACACAAGAGGATCCCACCAGGACTATCGAAATATTTAACTTTCTCTTAAGAGCTGATATATATCTTCCTTTTTGATACTGACAGCTCAGTTTGTTTCTTTTTTATCTTTGGCTTTAGGAATTTTAAAGCCAAAGTTGACACTTATGTTTCAATGAAGTTAGTTTTATGGTTTCAATATTCATGTTTTTCTTTCCTTTCTTCCAGTGTTTTCTTAATATAAACTACAAATGGAAAGAAAGGCAAGTAAGGAAAGAAGGGCAAAAAGGGAAAGAGGACAAAAGACAGGGAGAGAGGAACAAGCTGGACACATATGCATGGAACATGCCCTGTCTAGCAGCCTGGCACATACAGAAGCTGTCTCATAAAAACATCTGCATAAGCCTAGGCTGGTAAAATTCAGCTCATTTTAAAATGGGACCTTATGCTCAATCATCAGTCCCTTTGGAGTTCTGAGACAGAAACTATTTAGACAATACTAAATCTTTCCCACTGGCCACCCTAACAGAACTGCCAAAAGAACCATGAAAGCAAAACAGAAATTGATTCTGAATTATACACTGCTGATATAATTACTAGTAAACATCTAATGTGTAGACATTTTATTCCTGGTGTTGGTTTTAAGAGGCTGAAAGAATATAACTCGCACCCACCCTTCTCCCTGATTCCAGATAGGATTTTAAAACTGGCAAGTTAAAAAATAAATCATCATTTGAAGTGCTTTATGAAGTAAAAGAAAATTACGGTAATCTAAAAAGCAGTTATCCCAAATGCCACGATATCATTCTTAGAAAATAACATTCTAATTATAGCATCACTATCAAGGTTAAATTTTATAGTCAGAAAGTAGTATTAATTAAGTAGAGTATTAGGTCCCTTAGAAAAACTGTATTTCTGTCAGGAAAATTCACATTAAGTGACTGACAACTGTGTAGTCATCAGTTTTCTGACAGTTGGTTAAGGTCAATCATAAAGTGAAGTAAGACAAAAGTCCTGCTACTCCTACATCCACAACACCCAACATCATTGGTGGCCCCTTTCATACTACCTGCCATGCCTTCATAACCTCTTGGTGAGGGGCCTAATAAAGCAATAAAACCACTGAACATGTGCATTGAGCTCTATAAATAGTACAGAAGTGGAAAGGTAGGGGAAGGAAACATGATTCCACTTGGGGGTCAGTTGGCCATCTTCCTTCCATAGAACACAAACTTTAGGGAGGCCTGGTTTGGGACTTGAGGGGCTTTGTGGACCCTAGGAGAGAATGATATAGACTAATGCTTTGGGGTAAACAAGGACTTGATGCAGAGAAGTGAGAATGGTTCCTTTTTTGGAGTCTCGTTCTCTATCCCAGCAGACCAGAAAGAAAGGTTTTTAGACAGATGCTCTCTAGCAATAAAAAACACACTTGACTGAACGTTCCTGTGCACTGTCCTGGAGTTTGCATGTGGTAGTGAAGAGTGAGATGAGGCATCTCAGCAGCAGGAATTGCCATAGATTCTCTTAAAAATGTTTCCACATTTTCCTAGTTGGTTATAAACTTTCAAATGTTGTTCCATGACAAATGCAAGTGAAAACAAATGGGAATTTCTGGAATAAAATGTAAGGTCACAAACACAGGTTTTGAAATCAGGCAGTTTTAAGCCTGAAATAGGACTTTGGGATACTCCTGCTTTTTGGCTG